TTTATTGCGACACACGTATGCACGTACGTACACGTGCATACGCGTGGTCCGAGACCGCGATTATGCGTGCACGGCACGAGTTCACCGACACGTGAGTTTATCTCACGCGTCTCCGCGTTCTCCGCCGAGCGTAGCATAGATTATAGCGGAGGTAGCGAGATTGTGTCTAGCGATGGCAACAAGACGTTTTCGATTTTAGTTTCAAAGACAGTAATAAACAACATGGGCATAAAAAGGATATAAAAATTCTGCCTTGAAAAGTTTATTGCATATGCGTGTGCGTGAAATCCATATATTCTGTAATTTCTTTTTATCGTTTTCTTTCAATGCGACTCAGTGTCACTAAACTGTATGTAATTTTTAAAATGTAATCTGCTCTCATGAGTAAACTTCAGTAAAAATATATTATACAGAGATAATATAATATTGTCTTTTATTATTGATATATTGCCTTTTTTCAAAAAGATCGCGTTTGTAAAAAAATGTTATGAAAATAACATACACGTTCATTAATATTAATTTAATAATTTGTTATTAAGTATTTTCTAAGAAAGATTATTGTGAATCTTAATAGATATTAATTTGCAACATTAAATTCTTTTTATTTTAAAATATCTAAATTTATGTAATATCAAACATTATTTTTTCATAATGAATGGAAAAGTTTCAATAATAGATAATAATTATGATATCTCCATCTTATTATTTATTTTTCTTTTATTAATTTTTCTTTTAGCAACGTTTATTTCGACTTTCTAGTTTTCTCACATTTATAATTGAAAAAAATTTCCTTACACTTTTAATAAAATAAAAGAGCAGCTGTTGATTTTATTAAAGAAGCTTGCTCATTAAATTCATTTACTCATTAAATTTTATCCTTTCTATTTTATTATAAAATTAATCCTATGATTACTTATCGGTTTTTTATATCACACTTTTAATCTGCAGTTAGGAAAGTCTCTAAAATATGAATATTAAGAGATAATAATGCGCGTGCGAGAGAGAATTATATTAATATACAAAAAATAAATTGTGTATGCATGTAAAATTAGAATGATAAATATCTATATATCTTTTTCGACGTTGGAAACATTTATATAACTTGTTATAGTATATAATGTATGTAAAGATATATATATTATGTATGTATAATTTTTCAGGTAAATTTACTTAAGACATAGCGCATTTTTAGAGATCAATACGAGGGAACTTTGGAAAAAACTATAGTTTTTTTTAACCAGATCTATAGGAAGAAATTTCCAGTTGATTCGTGCAACATCCTTACCTATGTACAGAGCGGCTCGCCAGGTAAAGGTGAGGTCGTGGGAGGCCAAGAGAGTGCATTCGCGTGGGCCTGTACCCTGTGTCACATCCATTTGTCCCCGTGTCTGTTTCGTTTGTCGACAGTAGTATGTATGTGCTGTCGACCCGAGATTATCTCTCGGTCAAAAGAGAGTTTACTCCGTAAATCGTTTTCAACATTACGATTCTTTAACTAGCCGATGATACACAACAAAGCACTTTCACTCTTCTTAATCAGAATACTTGCCATTGATAATTTGCTGAAATTGAAAGAAAAATAGAAATAAATAGAAAAAAGAACACACAAATTTTACAATAGAGAAGGAAAAATGAATTTACAATAAGTTTAAGATTAAATCGTTAAGATTAAATCGTAAAACTCAGCTTCTAATTAATTTATCTTTATATATATATAAAGATATGTATGTACATCTTCATTGAAACATGGGTCACGCAATTCACGTCGCGTGTTTTAACGCTTTAAATACATCCCCATGAACGAAGGGAAACTTGCCTATGGGGTTAATGACCAAGGGTGCATTTGGGTGTGGTCTTTTCTAATAACACTAATAGAGGGGAGTGTAAATATAGATTGGTAAACGTTGCCATTTATTGACAAACGTGAGTAAAGTAATGTCGATAGAAAGAGAAGATCAAATTACAAATTTGAAAGCTCAGTGAATCTCAATATTCATTATGTCACTTTAATTAATCTTAATTAATTTTATTCTAAATTATTTCTTAAATTTAAATAATGTCCGAAAAGAATAAAAAAATTAAAAACGTAAGAATGTGAACACGACGAATGATCGAAATAAATATTATCGATGACATAATGTTTATTATTGAGAAAATGTTACACCGCTTTTTTTTATTCTTTGGGATAATGTAAGAAAGTGCAGAATTTTAGATAGCATATAGTAATTAATCACTAAATTACAATTGTACAATTTGTATGTAAAAAAAAATTATACATACTTTTTACAAGATTTATTTCGTTACCTTGAATTCTATAAGGTAAGCGAAATAATTTATTTCATGAGCAACATTGTACGAGTATTTAATTACACACTGTTCTTCATTTTGACATATTTATATAAAGATATATATTTCCTATCGCTTTATTAACAAGACAATTATTAAAAAGATCCGATCGATTTTATTGGAAAATTGTAATGTTTCCAGTGATAAAAAGACATGAGCTTATAAAAAAAGAAATCCATTGTTTCAAGAATCATTTTGTTATACTACTTTTATTAAAATTAAATTGAAATCTCTCATGTATGTGCTCTTATTTTTAATTATTTTAAAGGAAATTATCATGCCTCTAAATTAATTTGGAAACATTACGTGCGAGGTTGTGATTATTAAACAGTATATATGTGTATTAAAGACTATTTAAATATACAAGATATGAATTACCTCGCGACAATTTTATAATATACATAGAGCACAAATCTAACAGTAAATTTGCAATATTAATTTTTTCCTATAAATCATGTTTAATCTATTATATATATAAAATGATATAAATAGTACACATAGAAGTTTGCCAAAAAATATTATGCAAGACTTATTAGCGTCTAATTAACGAATGACAAAAAAAATGCATTGTTTTTTTTTTCTTTTTTAACGAACTTAGCTAACCAAGAATAAAAATATTATATTTTTTACATATAATATATCAATCTCCCATGAAACCAATATATTTCAATTTGCATAATTCTATCTATTTCTCGATTTTTAATATAAGAAAAGATTACATTATAGATAGATAATATAAAATATTTAATACAATTTTTAAATTATTTCCTTCTTAATATCTCGCATTTGCGTTGAAACATTAAAGTGATTTCTAATTCGAAATATGACAATAAGCATTTATTTACACTGCAGCCTCATATTATTCCCATTAATTGGAGTTTTGCGAGCTACTTTTAACAGAACTGTTATTCGTTCTATCCATTCATTTAGCTAAAGTCGTGATGAGCTTCTATTTTCATATTCATAATTATAAATAAACTTAGAAATATTATGCCAAGATATCCTATTGTTTTTCCTTATTATTAACATATGCAATCTTACCTAATATTCTTAATATTTTTAAGAAATATATAATTATACATATCATAATTGTACATTTGCTTGATATTTTACTAAACCACAAAACTACAATAATTTTATAAATTATTATGTGTACCTAATGCACTAATGGCAAAAGAAGTTCTTGTACCATGTATGTGAATCACACTGCAGCTCTCTATTAGAGATATGCAAAGTATTTTGATAAACAAAGTTGAAGATTCTGATATTAAATATCCACAAACAGAAACGGGCTAATTGAAAGCCAGGCGCGGTAATCGAAGTAAAAATTCTTTTCCTTTCTAATATAATTTATTATTTAAAGGCGTTTCGATCTCTTGGATCATCATCAGCATCAAATAATATAAGCTATAATATATAAAAATACATAAAAATCCCTTTTTAAAAAAGATATGTTACGTCTATTAATATGTAATACTCGAAAATCTCGAAGTTTATTTAGTATTGTTGCCTCTTTTTCGCGATGCCGATTGATTTATGCGACTTGCTTCATTCATATGATTTGTGGCTGTCAAATCAGCTATCAATTTTGAGTGTGAAATAAAATTATAATTAAAAATGTGTAGTGAAAAAAACTAAATGGCGCGCACAAAACGCGCGCTTTGTATGTTATTCTAATAATATAAAAAATAATAAAGTATAAATTATAAAAATAAAAATTCACAAAAAATATAAAATTACACATAAATTATATTAAAAAGTGCAAAAAAGTGTGTTGTTCTGTATTTTCGAACAAACACAATATGCTTCCCTCCGGCCAATATTTTTATACATTGATGACATTAATGATGCCAAGTTTAAATTTCCAACAAATTTTTTTTCATCCTAAAATACGCGTGTAGGCTTTCCTTATAATTCTGAAAGCTACTTTTTTGTCTTTTATGAATATTATCTCCGATATTAATCACTACCATAGATAGACTTTTCATTCAAGATTTCGTCGTTCCATGTAAATTCAGCTTGTAGTCAGTGATAACAGAATTACAAAGAGATTTTTTTTGTAGAATTTTGAATATAAGAGCCTTTGTTTATTAAGCCATAGATCACTGTATCTTAGCAAACATTCGGCATAGTAATAAGCTCTCTACTCTCTTCAATCATAGCAAATATCACGCTTACAAGACTTGGAGATGAGGATGATCAAGATTTTTCTTATTATTCTTTTATTATAAATACGTAGGCGATGTTGCATTAATGGTTTTTTTCGATGTTCTCTTTTTCTCTTTCTCAATATCATTTTTAAAAATTCAACTCATTCCATTTAAATGATAATGAAGAAAACTAATGATTGATGTTACGATGATTTTAAAAAATAGTTTTATACAATTTCACTTCTTTTAAAAGATACTTTGAGTCTCAACATTTTTTTCTACTAAAAGAGATAGTCATCAACCTAATTGACAAAACAAAATCTTAAATTTGTAATTGATACATTGTTAAATAATAGATATCTGTTCTCGTTTATAATCCAAATATTACAAATGCACTATTTGAAATATATAGCAAAAAGAATTAAATTTAAATATATCTAACGCGAACAATAAAAACTAAATATCTTTTATATTTTAACATCTTATACATTTTTATATTCTTTGAACAATTCAAGTCTGTGATCTACAGTTTGTACACAAGTCTATCATATATTAGAATTAATCAATTATAACAGTTTATTCTTATATATAAAGATGCTCTACCAAATGAACACAGCAATGTGGTATATAAGATCTTCCGTAAAGATTGCGATGTTTCATATGTTGAATAGACAAGTAGACTCTTAAAAACACAATTGGTTAAGTATCACAATCACATCATTAGAAATATATCGTAACATTACGTTCTCATGGATCATAATTGAATAATTAGTTCGCACGAGGTGGAAAGCGATTGATGTCAAAAACCAATAAAATAGCTTAAACTTCTAGAGTTCAAGAAAAGTTTGCGCCATATATCTCAATAGAGAATTTATCGAAAGTTAAACTTGACGTTTGTCGTAAAAAATGTTGACTTATGTTTGTTTATACATCATCAATATCATATTATTGTCAAAGTTTTGTTTGACTGACAGTTGCATTCCGATTCATGTGATTTTCGGTGTTTCGTGATGGATAAGTCGTATCCTTTTAACATTGAAAACCAACCTTGGTTTCATTTTTTCTCTCTTTATGCTATTCCTCAGCTTATAAAATGATTTGTCGATTGTTTTGGCAATGCTTCCGACTATTGTCATGTATTTCCTTTCTTAACAACTGGAACTGGAGGGAAACATATTGCGCTTGTCGTGGAGGTTGCTGAGATCACAAAAAGGTGCTTGCACTTTTTAATTTAATTTATATATATAATTTTATTTGTAAATTTTTTATAATCTACGCGTTTTTATAATCTACGTGTTTTACATGTTATCTTTACGTATTATTTATATATTATTGAACAACTGTCAATTATGATTCAATTAATAGACTAAAACATGACTTTAAGCAATTAATAAATCACATTTTAAAAGAAAAAAAATTCAAATTTCAATTATCATACCTGAATCACAATTAGTGTCATTTTTTGGATATTTTTAAATAGCAGTACACTGCACTCACAGTTTTTTTCTGTACACAGTATATATAATTTTTTTCGGTTTTAATGATTTTTTTGGGGGGTACGTACACTAACACTGGGACCAAAGTAAAACATTGGACTATTAAATAGATACATTCTTCTTATATTTGTTATTACGAAATTGTCTGTAACATGTTTATATTACTGCTTTCTTCTTCTTCTTCCTCCTAAAAAAAATAAATGCCATGGTAACATGTATTCATCTATAAATAAATTCACATATCTTTTTCTCTTCATGAGTATTGTAAGCAAGTTTTCAAAAAATTAATCAATTAAAAAACATGAAACTATGAAATTAGAAAACATGAACTTACTTCATCAAAACCAAAACAGGTTTCCATTTCCTTTTGCAACTTTGGATCACTTTGTGTGTTTTGTGTAGAAGATTTAGGTGGACTGGAGGTAATAGATTCTATTTTTAAATCTTGCATTTCTATATCTTCATCTGCTTCATCAACTTCTTCTCCTGTTTCTGCTACTATACCACTTTCTTGACTTAAAGGATCTTGCATTACTAATTCTCCATCTTCATTTGCAACTACAGCCATCTGTTATAAATATAAATGTAATCATACATAATTTATTCCAAAAGATAAATTAATCTTTCAAATTATTTTGTGTTTGACAATACCTGATCAGTTCCTTGATTGTCAGCTAATTGGATAACTTCAAGTACAACATATTGTTGACCATCAGTGCCTTGGACTGCCATCATGTCATCTTCATCTTCTTCCTCTTCTTCATCTTCATAACCTTTAAGTTTAGAAGCTAAATCACCTGTTGTCGCAACATAACACATGGATATTAGTCAATGATCTACATTTAGATCATATCGTAAGTGACCCTGTGAGTGTAATGTTTTTATGTACATATATCATATTTTATGTACATATATATATGTTTTTATGTACATATATGATTAATATCACTAATATATTAATAAAACCTAATTTCTAATTAATTTTTCATGTGGAGAAACAAATATAGATCTTTGTTAAAGATATACATCTTCTAAAAAAATGAAAATATATATCTTCATTAAAGCATAGATTATTCAATTATATGCTAAAATAAGATAAAATATTAAAAAAATTACATTTTATCAATAAATGATGTAAACTATAATGCATCAGATTTAAATATTTATAAGATATTTTACCTGTCATTACTTCAACACGTTGACCATCAATAATTTGTATTTTTTTCTGTCTGCCAATTTTCAAAGCCTGCTGTTTTTCTTGAAGAGATGACTCTGGATCATGAACAGCCATATGTCGAATAAGATTACCTTTGTGTCTATAGGACAAAAATATATTTTATTAGAAAAAGTTATATCAATTTAATATTTTATATCATCAATTGTTTCAAGTAATCACACACCTAAATGCTCTTTCACATTCGGGACATTGATGCGTTTTTTCTTGTGGTGGAGGAGGAACGTACGAAGGATTATGATAGAGATTGCAGTGCCGTTTGAGTAACTGTTTTTGCCTAAATGATTGAAAGCAATGATCACATTGATACGGCTTTTGATCGGTATGAATGAGCATGTGACTCTCCAAATGACGCGCCGATATAGACGCATACGGACATAAATCACACTTGTAACATTTCTCTCCTTCATGAGTTTTGCTATGCAATTTATAACTATATCTGCAATGTATAATATCTATGTATTAAAAAATATAGTTTACTGTCAGATGCACAATCATATTATGACTTTTTTCTAATTCATTCATATATATTTGCTTGTTCAAACACATACACATTATCACAATATAAATGAAGTTTTATTAGTCAAAGAAATTATTGACATACCTATCCGGGAATGTTTTTCCACAACGTTTACATTTTAAAGGTTTATCAGAAGTATGTAATTTTTGCACATGGATCCTGAGATCCGTTTTCCTGCCACATGTAGCTGGACATAATTCACACTGAAATACTGGTTTATCGCCTACTGTAATATACATTATTAACATGAACAAATAAGTTTTAGCAGATAATACTTAATTTCTATACATAAATGATACAAGTCTATACAAAATATAAAATAAGTAGTATGCATATAATACACTTATATATATAATTTACCATTATGAATTAATTTATGTGCTTTTAAACTGTTTGATTGAGTAAATCTCGCTTGACAAAAATCGCATTCATATGGTTTTTCTCCAGTATGAATGCGAAGGTGACGTTTCAATTTAAATGTATCTGGACTTGCATATGTACAATGTGGACACTAAAAAAATAATTAAACATTATATTTTAATTAGTCAGCAACATAGAATTATTTTGTAAGTAAAAATTTATAATAATTTTATATATTTAAAGATATTAAGTACAAATAAATTTTTTTCACAGATAGAATAATATAAATAATTATAACACTTAAGAATAATTGATCAGGAAAAATTATATAGAAAGCCATAAGTTATGTGTTAATATTATAAAAACTACAAAATAATAGGAAAAAAAAATAAATTTCACATAGATGTTCTCAGATATATGTAATTTTCATATTAGCAATCAATGTTCAGTTGTAGCATAGCCTCCCATGTGTGTACATGCAATTGTAATTTATTTTCTCCATGCTCTCATGCTCATATCATTACAAATAGAGCATTTTCATGTGCATGTTTATATTGAATGTTATGTTATGCATGTATGATATTAAAAATAAAGAAAAATATGATAAGATATACCTGATAAGGTCGCTCGCCTGTGTGACATCTAATATGTCTTTTCAATTTTGATAGCTCAACAGAGGCATAATCGCACTCATGACATTTGTGAGGTTTTTCATGAGTGTGTCTGTACCGAACATGTCTTACAAGTTCACCTGTATAAAGATATATTTAATAATTACTATATTTTCTATAATTACTATACTTTTTATAATTTCTAAAATTACTATACTTGTGCATATATTTGACAAAATAAGATATTATAACTCATAAATTTTGAGAAAATTAAATATTTTTATTCTATTTGTGTAACATAATGATTTACATATTATATTATATTATATTATATATATATATATATATATATATACATATACATATACATATATATACACACGCTAATTTTGTAGATAAAATTTATATATATAAATTTTATCTACAAAACTTTCATTCTCAATATCTATTTTAATGATACAAATAAAAAAGTAAATAACATTAAATTACATACCAGAAGTCGTAAATGCACTCTCACAAAACTTGCAATGATGAGGCTTGGTCCCAGTATGAGTATTCACATGATTCTGAAGCGAAGCCAAAGTTTTAAATCCTCTCTCACAAACACTACATTTATGTGGTCTTTCCTCTGAGTGAGATTTCATGTGCCGTGATAAAAGATACCTGTTACATATGAAAAGGAAATTTAAAAATATAAAAAAGAAATTTTTCTTATAAACAATTTTTCTAAAAGATAGTTTTAATATATAACAATAAATTCAAAGATAAAAATTAGAAAGATTATAGCGTAATATGAAAAATTTAAAAATAATATAAGAAACATAAGAAAAATATAATTATGTGTGAAAGCAGTACCGTTTTGGGCTGGTGTAATTGCAGTAGTTACACATATGGGCCTGTGTTATAGTTTGAGATTTTTTAGGAAGAAATTTAACAATTTTCGTCTTATCATCTTCCGCTTCGGATTCAACTGGAGCTTCATTGTCTTCATTATCTTCAAAATCATATACAGTGAGATCTTGTTCACCTTCTGCCTCTTCTCCTTCTGCTGCGGTTGCTGTTGCTGTTGTTGCTATTGTTTCATTTTCTGCAGGTTTACTTTCTTTTTCTTCAGATTCAGGTTGCTGAACTATCAGAACATAACTAACTTCTCCAGGATTTGTGTCAGATGGTACAATCGTGACAGTTTGATATGCATCAGCAGAATTAATTACAACTTGATTGTTTTCATTAGTGGCTACTTGTCCCTAAAATTTATTCTTGTATATAAGATATGTTCCTTACTTTAAAAATATAATTATACCACAGTTTTCTTTTTTAATATTACTTACATCTTCATCACCATCGGCATTTTCAAGCTCTTCAATTTCATGATACTGTTCATCTTGATTTGCTTCCCCTTCATTTTGTACATCAGTTTCTTCTACTTCTTGTATTTGCACTTGTGTCATCACAGGCGGTTCATCGCTATTTGCCTGATAATAATATTGACCAGATTGATCAACAAAGTATGTTCCACCTTCTTCTCCACCAGACAATCCTTCCACTTGTTGTACTATAAGACATAAGTATATAAGAGAAGTTAGTAGTACTAAATCAGTATTAAGAGAATAAATATTATTTAACATAATAAACATCTACAAAACAAAACTATCATGGAATACCAACATTGCACATGCAGTTGCTCTCCTTGTCCTCCCTCTATTTCCTTATTAAATGTTTCTAAGTAAGTTTGTATCTCTGTGACAGATTCTTGTTCCTCTTCCAACTTTATCGTTGCTACATTACTCGTCATGATTGAAGCATTTAATTCGTACAGTAACACCTATATTCATTAATCTGAAACACATTAATAACATTAATATATTAAAACATATTCATGGGTCAACTTAAAGATACGTTTGATATCATTCTAAATATAATCAATGTTAATATAAAATTTGTGTCAACAATTACGCATACATTCTAAAAATAAAGTTGGCAATGTCAAGTATACATTATATATAACATATAATGTATATTTTAAAAAAAATTGAATTCTTTTCAAAAATTTGTGAATTTTTCCTCCTAGAAATACTAATTGCTACTGACAAAGCAAAAACGCGAAGCAATTTCATTTTTCAAGATTTTAGGGGACAGGAAATTTGTATTAATTTAGCCTTCTACCTTTCATCATCCACCGGTTTTGAAATCTATCTTAAATACCGCGAGTCTACATCGCGAGGAAACGCCGAGCGTGTCTAGAAAATAAACCATTTCGAACATCGACAAAACTGAAAACATCCCCGTGGCACGTCGACGACGACGTCGTTCTCCCCGGAGCGCGTCGTCCGTTACACTCGCGCGAATTAAGGAGAAAAAAATCAATAAAGCGACAATCACAACACAAAAACGGGAACTCGCACCGCCGAGGCTCGGCGCTCGACGCTCCCCGAGTGTCGGCGTCGCGGCGCCGATTTCTCGGCGCGCGCGACAAACATCAGGGGTGCACGCGACCACGGGGGACACGACGAGCGCCGCGGAGGCGACGCGCGCCACATGACACGAAACGAGACCGAGGCGAGAGGACGCGCGTGGCGATCAACGGTGCTACGGGGGATGACGAGCAACGCCGTGGACCGCGGGAGAGAGAGAGGCGTGCGATGGCGCGCCATGACGGGCGACGCCAGCGGCCAGCGAGGCGAGACGACGAGCCGCGTGGAGACGCGGGAGATACCTGGGGGGCACCGTAATCGCGGACTCTCGTAGCACACGGCGGGGGCCCCACGAGGTCGCGCATTCTGTCGGGGAGCTTTTAAGACAACGCGGGTGCTTTCGATCTCAGGACACAGGGGGCATTAACGACAAAAATTTCAGAAAATTATCACCGTCGGCGCTGTCATCAATATGGAGGACATGGGGCGACGATGCCGCCGTGCCGTTGCGTCGCGTGTCACCGACGGCCCATCGATCGTTCGCGGACACTCCGGCCACTTCCGACCGGTCGGATTATTCGAGTAGACTCACCGCTCGTAATCGCAGGACAGAATTGTGCGCGCGATGCGGCACGAGGCGACGCGAGGCTTCGAATTAATCACATAAACCCACGTTCGTTCGCGTGAGGGCGTTGTGTAAGAGGCAATATGGCCGATCGAACTGCGACGGTTCAAATGCTGCGCTGGGATGCGCGTTGGCAGCTGCGCAGTAGCACGCTGCGCATCGCTCTCTCGTGCTCTCCTCGTGTTTGTATACCTCCTTCGCTATTTCCGAGTGCCGTCGTAGAGGCCCTGTGTCCCGAGCTCTCGTCCTGGATTCTCGACACGGCTCTGCCATTATTTTCGAACCTATCTCCGCGTATTTGCGTAACCACGCGTCCCCTACTTATACGAGCGAGAAATCAATTGATGGCCTGTTCAAGGACAAAGGAGCGTTGAAAGGAAGTCGCATCGCTCCTTGCGTCGAGCGCATGATTGTTTATTTTTTTTTATGCGTATCACGGCTATGTAAATACGTCAATTAGCCTTTGCCCTTTGATGAATCGTCGAATTGTTGTAATTATGTACGGAATGTATCCTGTGCGTAAGAGCGACACGATAGCCAATCGGTCTCTCGCTTTTGCTAAAATAATAGTACGTAATGAAAAGTGATTGGCTATCGCGTAGTTTCTACAACAATTGGTTCATTTTTCCCTTCGTGTATATACGTCATATTGCGCGCATCTTCTGAATAGACCCTAAAAATTCTATTGGTCGATCAAAATTTGCGCGAAAACTGAATCTATTTGAATATTTGCTTCCCACCGATTAATTTTTATACAATTAACAAATATAAAAAAAAAGATATTATCGATTCTTGTATAATACTTGACAGATTTGCTCGATTTTTGCTATTATCACATGTCGACAAATTTATCAGAATACATAGATAAAAGTGCAATTGACACACTGATGTATTACAATTATTGAACTATATAAGACTCTATGTTAATTGAAAAAAATTAGTGATCAAATTCGCTGCTAAACTGTTCGTATATAATTTTGTCAGGCAAATATGAAATGTGTTGAAAAACTAAAAGGCTTTCATCAGTTTGATTAAAACATTTTTTCAAGTTATACATATTTTTAAAATTGCTTATCTCTTAATAATTAACTACAACCATGTATAGCAAACAATACCAATGATTAAATACAACAATGTCCAAAGCAAAATCATTAAGAATATATACAACTTACATATATACATACATTAATCCGCATTTAAATTTAATACATAATTATCAGGGTAGTTTTGTAGTTGTTTTCTTGTAGTGTGTATAAAAGCTTACAAAAATAGTGTAGTTTTATAATATAGTTTTACAATATTGTAAAGTTAATAGGTATAGTTATGCATATACTCTTTATGCATTGTGTTGCAGAACACAATGGTAACCATAAAATTACCACAATGGTAATAACTTTTAAAAAAATAATATACATATATATTGAATGTTACATAAGAAATTACAAAATTAATGCCTATAAAAACACAATTGAATATTTATAGACTTTTATGGGAGAGAGCAAAATAATAATTTAAACATATTAATTATATTGTGTATGGTATAGATTAATTTTTATATATTTATATGTTAGATTTAATTAGAATAGAAACATTTGTTAACATTTTTTTTCTCATATATCAAAGTTGTAAATGAGTATTTTAAACCATGAGTATTTTAGTTACCATGATGAATGTGGCAGTTTTGTTGATCCACTAAATTTTTAATATCCATTTTCAGAATATAAATCAACAGCATTCCTATTACGATTGTCAATACCATATAAATTAAAAGCATGTATCTTACAGTAACAATTTCATCACGCAACTTTTTACAATTTTCTTCAAGAAGATTTATCTGGAATTATGAACGATGAATCAGCATAAAAAAATTTAGTTTAATATTTATATTTTTATGAAATATATGTAAATGTACATATATATATATATATATATATATATATATATATATATATATGTGTGTGTGTGAAAGCATGTTACATTTTGACTTAAATACCTTAGAGAAAAATGCATCAATATTACGATCATTTCCTGTAGAAGTTAATATAGAATGAGATTTTTGGACTTCATTGTTTTCACTGTTACCATCACAACATCGTAGTCTATGCATTTCTGATGCTTTTTCAGACTATAAAGAAAGAGAGCACACAACAACGCATTAGCATCTTAATGATCTTGTTCATAAATATAATTAAAATTTATAGTTGTTGATACTTTACATAATAAGATATAATGAGATAAATATTGAATTAGAGAATAAAAAAAAAAAGAAACAATTTACCTTCCAGAGTGCAGCGAGTTCCTGTGGTGTAGTATTTGCATTTTTTAATGAAAGGCACATGACTAAAAATCTATCATTATGTAAAAGACCACGTATATTATAGCCAGGCTGTAATACAACCACAACACTTCGTTGCTCAGATGGTTGTAAAATTCCAGAACTTGGTCTTACTCTAAATTTTTCAGGGGATGTTGTCTTTATCTACAAATTATTGTACTTGTATGTCATATGCTATATATATTTGTGTATTTGGTTTAATATATCTTCATGAATCTATTTTAATATAATATAATGATAATAAAATAAATATATATAAGATAAAGACGGAATAGAAAATAATACCTTATAAGATAAAGACTTATCAGTTGTAATATTTTTAAGAGTAATTGTTCCTGTAATGTCATTTCCATCCTTATTAAATGTAATTGCTTCCATAGGTTCTATGGATAATACTAAAACAAACATAATTTAAAGACGTAGATATTTTTTATACCATTAGTGTTAAATCTTAATAAATGCTTGATTGCATAATAAATTTGGTACATACACTGTTCTTCGTTAGTTTGCTCTCCAATATTTGGAGATGGGCTTTGTTCTGTAATTGGTGAATTTTCTGCGAAATGCACCTAGAAAATAATATATAGCATGCTTAGAAAAGAAATCAAATAAAATTTCTAAAAATTATTAATAATTTGATGTACATCCTGTATATGTTCCATATTATTTAGTCTTTTCTTATGCATATTATATTATACCAAGGAGGTTAAGCTCTTTTATTTTGTTTCTATCATTGACACCTGAATAGATAGATAAGAATCTCGCGAGAGGGGTGGCTGGAAACTGATAAATGCGGTAAGGAGGGGTAGTGCATGAACTTCGGTTAAATCCGTCAACGTTCGACTATATTCGGCACAATTTGACATGACGATTTTATTGACATCATCGATTCTAAACCAGATTCTCTTCACGTAGATGTTCAAATAGTGTTTATTTATAAAAAAATGTTTATTTTTATTTTATTTTTATAATAATTAAGTTTTACATAAAGTAATATATAAATAAATATAAAAATAATATGAAAATAATAATATTTATATATTGAATATTAAAAAAATATAAATATAAAAATAATGTAATAGATATATAAATAATATGACAATATTCATAACACAATTTCGCACAATACACGTGAGCTGAATCTTGATGTTAATGATTCGAGTGGAATTAACCGCTCATTATCGGGTATAACAGAATTCAACCGAAAAGTCTCTCCTTATCGTGAATATCAAAGCTTCAATCGTCTTAATCAGTAGCTAATACTCCATCCATTCAGATCTCAATGGTTTCTATAAATATAGGAAGACTGATTGTAAATGAACCATAGCAATACAACAAAAGAAATAATAAAAGAATAGACTCAATAAAAAAAGAAATATGGCGAGCTTCATTAAATAACTTTAATAATTAATTCTTTCACTTCCTTTCAATTCCTACCTATGTTTCCTATCTATGTTTGTCTTAATTCTGTTGAAAGAAAAAGAACAGAGAGAGAATAAAAAAATATAGCAAAGTTGCTCTATCATATATAAAAACAAAAGAAGAATCTTAATATTTATTTTATTTTTTTAGTAATATTAATAGTATTAGTAGTTTCAAATAAAAACTTTAATAAAAGAAGAAAAGATGTATATGTACCTTTTTATTATCCAGTTTGCCATTCAATACACCATTGTCTCCATTTGTTCGTACTTCTGGCACAAATTTGAATACGTAATCACTGCTACCTCCCCAAGATTTTAACGCATCATTCGGATCAATAAACTCTTTCAATGTTGTTTTGTTAACAAGTTTGATTTTTGGAATAGCTTTAGCAGGTAACCATGATTTTATTAATTTAAAAGCTGTATTTAAAATCCAGGGCATTTCAAAAATTATGATATAATTTAAAAAATTGGGATAATAAGACTTGAATAAATTAATGAGGTATTTAATAAGCTCCATATCCATGTTGGAAAGTCCAGCTTCTGCCATATCAAAGAAAAGCGATACCTGATCTACTTCTCTGAAAATACAATCAAAATTTATAATGATATACGCATATTTGTAAGTATCTGAAAAAAGAAAGCTTATGAATAAAAAAGTTAGACCGATTGGAAGATTTCAATTGATTTAAGTATTTCATTTTAAGTAATTCGTCGTTTTTTCAAAAAAAGGTTGAGATTCAAAGATTGAAATCATAAACATTTTATTCATAAACTTTTTTTCTTTAGGCAAAATCATATTTGCTATTCTAAAATTAAGATACCTTTCTAATCTCTCAAACCAGTAAACTATACATCTCTGAAGTTCTGCAAAATCTTTCACTCCTTTAACATGCAACTTTAACTTAATCACAAGAAGTTTCTTGCCATCTTTATCTTTACCATAGCCATAGCATGATCCTTCTTCTAAATATTCTCTTTTCACATTATCTTCGGTAATATCTGTAATTTATCTTGTAAATGTTAAAAGGAGAAAAAGAAAGATGTTTTATAATATGTTATCAAATTACATATGTTATTCAAATTAATATAGATTTGCTAGAACAATCTTTGCCATTTTTTTACTTGTTACTAAAAATATTTATATGGCAAAAACTAAGCAAATACAGAATAGTAAATACAATAAAAATAGCTTTACCATTTGCTCCAAATTTTTTTCTCCAAGTACAAGTATCCCAAAGCATATTAAATGCCTCTTGTTCATTGAGGTCAGTAGCCTCTAAAAATCGTCTTAGCCAGTCATCAGTATTTTTTATCCTGGCTATATCAGCAGGATGAAAACCCTCTGAAAATAATATTTGTTCATCAAATTAAGCATATAGAATTCACGAGGAGATTAAATCATATCTTTTCTCTCTTCTTTTTTGATTTTTAATTCTTTAAATATTGATGAGATGTGCGTGTGTCTCATGCATTATTAATATCGCATTCTTTGCTACACATTGTCAATTGTTTTCAATTGAATACGCGATCGACTGGCACGACCTTTGCACATGTTACATGAGCACTGTATTACAACACAGTATACAATTTGTGTTACAACGCGGTAGGATTCGTTTTCGATGAAAGAGGAAGAAGGTACATACTAGGATCGGGTGGTCCCTCGTCGTCTAGCTTTTTGAAAAACTTGTCGCGAAGTTCCGTGATCGCCTTCGCACTCACTTCCATCTTCCTTCCGTCAAGCTAGTGGCCGGGAGAATGACACTTTGACCGGCACCGAGAACAAATTTATTCACACGCCTCATCTATGCGCGCCACGTCGCGCATGCCATTCGAACTTTCCTTCCACCATGCCCTTGTCATCAACAGCAAGTTTTTTCCGTATTTTAAAAAAGTGAAGTATATTCAGAAGAGAGGAGAGAAGAGTAACAAAGTGCGAAAATTAATTTGGACAACGTGTGTAACAATTGAGAAGAAAAGATTTTGCGCTTATCGCGAATTGATCGAAGGTACTTCGTAATGTTCGCTTATAATACTGTCAAATTTATGTGTATTTTTAAGAATTATCAATCTAACTTGATTCCTCATCTTCCTTGCAATTCTCTCTGCGTTATATTATGCAAAGCATTTATCATAAATAAGCAATTAGAGTGAAATTGCGTGCTTATGATCAATTATTTCTAGCGATAAAATGCGTCATATATATACTCCTGAGTATTTTCCGCAGCTTGAATCAGCTGTGAAAACAGCCATTTTGCAGTCATCAGCTGTCACAAGTGTTATCACATTGCGGAAGTATTTATTGCGTGCGAATCAGTATGACAATTTATGACAAACGTGACGTTTCGAAACAATAGTTTGGTTTCATGTGATAAAGATAAAAAATTGTAAATTAAGCACGCGATATCAAAATATAATCTATATGTGTGTGTGACACGAATGATACATACACAATATTATCATCGTAAATCATCGTTATATTTTCGCTTGTTTTAGGATTTATAGGATAATAATCCTAAGATAAGTAAAGATGGATGATGAAACATTAAACAGGTAGTTGTACGATTTTAAATTGTATTGTTTATAATTATTTCATATACATAGAACCTCAACGATATAATCTGTATAAATGTGTATAAAGTTTTTTCCTATTTTAAGAATATAATTTAATTTATTGGCTGGCTTTTATTTTTGTTTTTTATATTAAGAAAATTAGATATTATAAAATTATATTTCCAAATATATTGAATCATAACCATAATATGAGTTTATATTTGAATAATTTTTAAGCCTAATTCGAGTTTTTCACATTAATATATTTTAATATGCATAAAAATAAAAATTTATCATAATTTTTTAATAATTTTATCTCCATAAATAAGTTTATAGCGTTACTATGAAATATAAATATATATTATATAGACTTGCAGTTGAAGCTTTGCTGGAAGAAGCTAAACTCGGTGCACAAAGGGCTGAAATAATGGGACCTAGTGGATGGGTAAAACCTAAAGAAACCGTTAACAAAAGATTTCTCCATTCAACATTAAGAAATGCAGTAATATCGAACAAACATCGTACACTGAAGCAAGAAAAAGTAAAAGTTCAATCATATAAAACAGATACTGTTAAAAAATCATAAGTTACAATATATATATATATATATATTCTTGTTATACAATTTTGAAACATATACTTATCATTTTCCTTGGCATACACACATATATTTAAATTTGCTGCTAAATAACTGTTTTGTATTTATTTCTTTTATTACAATACACTCATGTTATAATTAATGTTACATCTTTTTACAAAATCGAAAAAAATTTCTTTACAAATGTACCAATAGATGTAAAAAAAATTATAAATCACAACTATCAATATTGTATAAAAATATTGTATAAAAATTTTCAAATGTTTCGTAAATATCTATATTTATATTCGTTTGTCAATATTTAATATTTTCTTCTTTGATAAATTATATATTTCAGTTGCTTATAAATTTTCATAGAAATTACTTTTATTTACAATGTCAATATTAAAGTCACTTTAATAATTGTAACATGTAAAATTCTGTTATACAGTTTTATATCTCTCTAATTTTTAATGAGACATCATTAAAACTTTAAATATGAAATGTACAAAATGTGTCATTTCTTTGTCACCTTGCACATTTAGTACTATTTTTTTACATACTTAGCTTAAAGATCAATAAAGATTAATTGTGTAATACCACCAAGTAATAACAAGTTTTATAAAAGCACCAATATCTTTAAACTTATATATAGCTTTAACAAATATATAGTGTAGAGAATGTAATCATACATCTTTTCTAACTATAAAATTACTTACTAATTAGTAATTACTTACAATTAAAACATTTTGCATTGATAAGTTGCGCATATCAATATATGGCATTGTTTAAATGTTTGCTTAAAAATCAAAATAATCACATATTCATAGTTACATATCTGTATATATCGCATTAGGACTGACAAGACTGATAAATCGAGAGGTCTTTCCATATTAAGATGCAGTTGATATTTTTTTACTACATATTATAAAGAAAATTTTTACTTATATGTATAAATTGCATTGCATTGTCTTTTTTTATTTAAAATTATAATAAGATATTTTTTATAATAAGATATTTTGTTTATATGGATATATGTATGGACGTATAGATATATCCATACATTATCCATAGATATATCCATACATTATCCATATAACATTAAAAATTTTAAATTCTATTTACACTCACAGTAGATATGTATGAATGTTCCAAATTCAATTATTAATAAATTTACAAATCATGATATTGATGACTATTTGATACTCTTTTACATGTGTGAAAATTGTTAAGTTTCAATACGTATATAATTTCCAAATATTAATTCTTATTATACATATACTTCTATAGTCATTTAATGTCAAAATATTTCTTAAATTTGTAGTATTGTACAAAGAGAAATGAGGATTTTTCCTATCTTATATTTCATTACTTATATTTTTTTGTTGTGAAATATTATTAGCAAATCATGAATAATTTGTTAGTTTATAAATGATTATTTAATGATAAAAATGCTATTTGATGATACATATGATAAACAAAAATAATTTTATGAAAAATTATCTCTATGCAATTGTCTATACTGCATCTTGAATTTTGGACCCATCATTTTCTTGTAAATTTTTATTTATCAAAATAATTGTCTATGAAAAGTGCCTTCAAAAAGTGCATTAAATTTTTCCCTATACCAGGCAAATTATTTTGAAGCTATAGATTTTTTTTCATTTGTAATCACTTTGCAAGATTAAATAATAAATTATGCAGATCCATTCTGATGTATTTTCTTCTTCTGGCCCAATAAGTTTTTCATATCATCAAGTGCCTTCTCTATCTCCTTTGCAAATCTTGCAGCATCCTATAAAAATTATAATTACTTAATAAATAAATAATTATATGTATATTATATGTATTATTGTAAGTTATAAATGCAAAATATACAATATGTAATAGATAACAAAATTTCAAGAAATAAATGATTAATGATTAATGATAACACTTCCTTTAATGACGCTAAAAATATTAATTATTTTTATGCTATATGTACCGTTTTTGAGGAAGATCGTTTACTAGATACGTGGAAAAATATAAGATTTTCTCCTGCAATTATGTAAGAAACACCATAGCCATCATGAGCTACAGGGCCAAATCCACCACCTGCTGAAATGCAATTCGGATATTTTTTCAAATCTAATTTTGCAGTTTGACCGTGCGGAGTTTGTGATGTTGATAATCTCCATGGTTCACTTAGAACCTCCTATAACAGAAATATAATAAAACATCTTGTTACATTTGTAAGACTGTTATTCAATTATTGTATTACATCTATTATTAACATATTGCTAATCTATTTCTAATATGATATAGTCACAAAACAATTACCTTTAGAAATGGCGAGTCTACTTCTAAGTACTTTGATACTACATACAAACAGAATAGATGTCTATCTATTCCTTTACCACACATGGCATCCTGATAACTTTTCTGATGTCGTGCTACCGCATCCATTAGTAGTTTAACTTTTTCATCTATCTACAAATCAGAAAAGAAGTTTTGTTAGAAATATACAAATAATCAAACATTTATATTTTTGCTTATTTCTTTACCGTTATTGTTTTATTCTCCATTGCTTTCACCCATTTAGAAGATTCAATAGTGCATGGTCTAACTGTTTCCGTTCTACCTTCTCGGAATAGTCTCGTCATAGAAGCTTCATAAGTTAAACTGAACTTCCCAGCATCGCGATAATATGCCAGTTGAAGTGCCATTTGTATATATGCATCTGGCGATACGGAATTAGCCTTCATTAAGCCTTTGCCGTAAGCATCGTGCACATAAATACGCAACTCAACATCATTCAATATATTGTGTGCTACCTGTATATTAAATATAAAATGTATGTATTAAATATAAAATCGATTTATTACATAATTGCAATATCCACTAAATAGTATTCAAATAAAATTTATTATTATTACTTGATAGGATTGCTCAATAGCTTCAATACATTTAGCATTCAGATCCCATTGCAATCGAAGTGGAGCTGGAGGTGTAAATTCTGGAGTGCCTATATTATGTCCATCTTGATATCTAAGAATTATGTATGTATATTATAATAAATTAGACAATTTTGTAAGTTAGACAATTGAATAATTTTGTAAGCTAATTATTCTTTATTTTTTTGTTTAACAAACTCACTGAAGCACACAGTTAACATTTATATTTTATATTAAAAAACATAAATTTTCATGCACAAATATATATATTCATAAAAGTCAAAATAATCATTATATAATTATAGCAAAACAAAAATTATATGATTGTTAGGAATGATGCAGTGTATGAGTAGTTAGTAATTAGTTAATATCCCATGAAAAATTCAACTCAATGAAAATAATGTACAAATTACCCAATTTCATTATCAGCAGCCATAATAAATTCCCATAGAGTTCCCATCACCGGTGCATCAGCCCTAATAAGCATATTAAAACAAAATATCAAAGTTATAATGTGAAAAAAATATATAAAGGACACTCATCAGTAAAAATATCTAATAGAAAGAAAGAACCTGCAGAAAATAATATTTAGGAGACTGAAACATAGACAGAAAAAAGAATCCTAAGAAACCTTTAAGGACGTTTTTAATAATTATTTTTAGAAGCAGAAGAAAAGAAATATACAAAATCATATAATTCTATAGTAATTCTTACTCTCTGTCTAGGAACTCCGAACATATCACGTACTCCCACAAGTGTGACATGACTGCAGCATCTGCCCTGCTCATTACTTATCATTATGTATTTCGATATATATATATATATATATACATAAATTTGTATGTTTAATAGAGTTTGATAGTATTGAAAATGTAAGTTTAATTGTATATAATACATTATATATAATGAGATCATGCTCTATGTTTGTCTCCGTATAAAATAGACGAAATATATAATATTGCGAAATAATTCTTTTATATGATAAAAATTAAAAAAAAATATCAAGATTTTTTTTTTATTATTAATATGTAATCTAAATTCTTTAAAATATACTCACCAAGAATGTTCCGCATTGAAGCCAATCTGTAAACAGAAATAATATATATAATCTTAATTCTCATATAATATTGTGAAAATATATTAGGTGTAATATTACTCACTCTGCCATTGGTCCCAATGCATAGCGTAAAAGATTTATCAAACCATCGATCATATCCTTTTCCATGTAATAAAATTCTACCATAGTGATCTAATTTTTCTGGATGATTCTAAAATATGAAATGTTTTTAACAAATATAGTAATCAATTTAATTAATATTTTCTCATACAAAATATATTTTTAAATTATTGGATAACATACTGGATCATATTCATAAGCTACATCGTCTAATGCGACTACGAATGCAGCTTTCTCAATAATATCCAAAGAAGCTTTATTTACACCTTTTGCAAAAAAGTCTTTTCTAGTCTGCGCCCAGATAGTTCTTTCACCAGCCGTTAATGCAGCTAGTTTCTCCTCTCCCTCCGCCGGTGTTGAATCATCATTTAAAATTTGTTGAATCTGACTGTAAGATGGATGATATTATAGTTGACATACAAGATAATATAGATAAAAATATAAGCTGATAAAAAAATAAAATATGTGACTTACAGTTCTATTTCACAGGCTTGAAGAATTCTATTTCGATAATAAATTAACACCTTAAAATATCTGCCTTTATGATAAACTACAATATGTTTGGCATCTTGATAATGCACAATTTTGTCAACCTCTATTCCTGGAATTCGTGTAGTATTAAAAACTCTTTCATATTGCCAAGAACATAATGGTACTAATCCTTGTACCAGAATCTAAAAAGGCACATTTTTTTTATATACATGTCATGATAAGCTTTATATTTATATTAAACAAAATGTAAAATATCGCAATTTTTTTATTCTTTTGCTTTATATATTTTTTCTCTCTCTCAATAAAAAATGATAAAAACAAAAAGTATCAAATAATTGAGAAAAATTTTTACATATTATTATAATTATATTACTTTGTGAAATAGGAAAATCAGTTTTAATTATACTATTTAATAGTGATTTTGGTAACGAAAATTTTTCTCCATTTTAGAAATAAAAATATAGATAACAAAAAAATACTAACTGGTTCTAATTCTTGACGTTCAATAAGACGTCTATATTTCAAGCAGGAATATATAACCGCTGCGGCTCGTGCAGATTGTAGATTCGTAGGATGCGAGAGAATGGCATCAATTCCATAAAAATTCGAATTAACCATCAGAGGTGATCTTCCACGTAAATAAACGTACTCTTCCCACCAATCGGATACATAATTGGTAGACCACCAAGATTTGAGGATTAAATAACGTTGCAACTTGACGCCGATGCCATTTTGGAATTCGGTAGCCAATCTTTCCATGCGAGCGTAATTCTCGTCATCTAGCAATGGCCGTACAGTCCTCAAATACTATATCATAAACAATATTTTACAATATTTAAACAGACATGGATATTTTAGACTTATTTACTAATTTTTTATATTATCGATAACATTCCAATATATTAATAAGAATCTTTATATTTCATTATAATGTTCGATTTGAAAATTAAATAACATACACATTATGGAAAATGCTTAAATAATAGTTGATACAGTAAGAGTCATCAATAACTCATAAACTCAATTTTAAAAATAAAATAATTATTATGTCATTATAAAACTTTTAAAAATAAAATTTAAGAAAATATTTTATGAAATAAAATGATATAAGCATAATTAGTGACATCGGATCCAATTTATATATGCGTATTTAATATAAAATAATGAAATATTGTTATTGTGATCTAACCCGTGTCATGGTATCAGCTACTGACGGTAGCGGCAATCGTGGCAGTGATCCTTGGAAGCTATATAGCATAGGTTTATGCCAACCGGAGAACAACTTTACCATCAAGAGCCAGATTTTCGTCAAACTTGATGGTTTGTAAGTCTTACCCCTTGATTCGTATATCCATCCTTTGTACATAAGCAGTAATTTCAACGTATATCGAATTGCGTATATGACCGCTAGCCATAAGAACAATGCGACTAGAAAAGAGCCTGCCAGGTGCGCGAGTATAGAGGTTCTGTCACAAAAAGAGAGTGATTAATTCCAGAGACATTAAATTTTTTTTCTCTCAATCTGCGAGTGTAATGAATCATAAATATCTTGTGATCGAGCAAAATTACATAGACTTACCCGGAAAGATATGGTGATACTTTTCCAACGAGGTCATACGGAACTTTATAACCAGCAAAATGTACCGCCGTTACTAACATTATAGTAATCCACAAGCTTTCTAAAGAAGCTGGATAAACGCCACTTTTCAGATTGTTCTAAAAATGAAACATACAGATATGTAAAAAAGACGGTTAAATATTCGATTCGGGAATTAAAGACGCTATAATTGGCACTTACCAGAAATCGGAAGAATCTCTTCTTCCATGATCGCACTCCAGAAAGCCACACCAAGTGAAGCACCTCCCGATCGAAGTTTACATCCCATCCTTCGTGTGTTATCGCGAAACTGAATGCTACGGCTGAGTGGGCTTCCGCCATCCTGCGTTAGCCTTCCTGTAAAATGCATTAAAGTTTAAGATTTTTTATTTAAGAATTAATATCTTAATTATAATTCGCGCTTGCTGTTAAAATTATTAAAAATTGTTTCATATAATCTTTAAAAAAGAAATCATTGAAATAACAGTTTAGAATACAAGTATATCAAAGTGCCTAGAATGTAAAACCTAATTGTAAAAAAATTAAAATTTTATGTGTGTGTGTGTGTGTGTGTGTAATAATAATAATAAAATTATGCACAATTAAGATTATACGAAATGCAATTTTAATTTTCATACGATTAGCATTCTAGGCATTTTAATATATTCGTATTTTAAATCATTATTTAATGATTTCGTTTTTAAAGATTATATGAAACAACATATATATTTTTAATATTATATTATAAGTTGTGTTTTATTAATATTTATATTTATATATTTTATTAATATGAATAAGTCAATATTTAAATCTGACATTTTGTAAAGAAGACCTGTCCGGAAACGGTTAATCGACGAGAAAAAAAGAGCAGCTTTGTCGCGAAAATGAACTATATGATCGTGATAATGATGCAGAGTAAACGCAGATATACCAGTTGACCTTACTTAAAGTTTCAATTGCGGTGCGCACGCGTGCATGCACGAATGCATTGTATAGATCGTGCCAAACTGGTAAATATGGACATTATGAAGAAGTCAATTCGGTGGACTTGTCGTTTACGATAAATTTACTTTAGTTTGGTCAAACGCATTCGATTCCCCAAGAAAAAGCTAAAGAGCCTTGAGTAATATCAGTTGTGTAAATATTATTTTTTTCCTTGTCTTATCAAAACTATTTAAAATTTACTTTAATATTTAACTGTAAACTCTTTTAATTTTTAATATTAATTATTATAAAATATATACGTATAATAAATTAAAAAAATTAATTTAAAAAAATTAATACAATATTATTAATATCAAAAATTGTCAAAAGTGATTACTCTTTTTATATTTCTTCATGCTTCCTAAATTGATATTATTCTTTTGGATTGACTTTTGTTATTGAGCAAGAATGAAATATTCATTGGAGGTCACCGTGAAGTGAAAGTCCCACGTATATTATAATAACCGACCGAAAAGTGTCAGATTAAAGTATAAAACACAGTTGTAATATAAGAATACAAATTAATGTTATGTGAATCGATGGTATCAAAAATGAAGTCTGATTCTTTCTTGCGTTATAATTTCGTTAATTACGCATTTTATTCGACTCGTACTGAGTGAGCATGCGATAATAGAAAGTCTTCGGCATTTCACTCGATTTCCACTCAAGTTACAATCGAGAAGGAGAATGGGAAAGAAAGATGATGGTAAATCCGAACTGATTATTAATTATTAATTCAACGCGCGAATTAAAAAATATTGGAAAATATACTTTATTAAAGAGAGAGAGAGAAGTAATTGACGATAATTTGTGGAGAATGTACGAACAAATGTATGTAGATCGTCACGCTTTCAGATGGGAGATTTTTCAGCATAAGAGCATGCTGTGATGTCTTGATACGTCATTTAAGGATCTCTCTCCGGCTGATTTCACTACAAAAGCCGGTTTACTAGTAAATGGTAAAAATATTGAACAATATAAGTTGATTAGTAAAAGTTTTATAATGTTATCTTTCCAAATTCTACATATAATTATAGAAGAATATTTATAATAAATTTAAAAATGAATTTCTTGACAAAACATTAAGAATGCAATTGTAAATAAACTGAGCAGCAAATATCGAGCTTTGTAGACAATGTACATATGTATATATTTATATAATCTTACGCAGCTGTATTTCTATAAATAATATTTATATTTAATTTCACACATAGTTATTAACACATATATAAATTAATAAAAAATTAATTTATTGTATATAACAATATTCCAGAGAAAAATCAATATTTGTACGCAGTCCTTTTTAGGAGAAAATTTGATGTAATAAAATCTTCAGTTTCTAATTATCAAGTAAAACCATTCCAATAGAAAGAAATTTTTTTCTTTTTTCTTCAATATTAGCCATTTAAATTTTGTACGTGTAACGTAATAACTTTGGACCTTGAACGATGACACAGAATTGTTATTTTAAGACTATAATAGTGGAACACGATTGTATACATATGCATTTATGCATTTAATTTTGTTGTTGAACCATCATGTTGTATTAAAGTAAATAAAATTGTATGCTTTACGTACTGCGACAGAATTATTTGTGTAATATGGAAAACATATTCATTCTATCACTGAATTTTTTGACGATAAAATATCTTTGTGTCATAAGGTCGATGATTTTAATGAAAACGTAATAATCTGTATGTGTTTTTGATAGGGGTATATCAGTTCAACAATTTTGTTGGTCGCCCGTTATTATTTCTATATTTCATGATATATTTTAAGATATATTCTTTGATCGTTTTTCAATAAAAAAATATTAATTTTTTATCAGAGAATGTTATGAAGTACTTATCACTTCTCATAAATTTTCTATGAAAATTTCATATATTTAACGCAAGTCAGGATGCAATATGTTTTATTTTTATTCTTATTTTTATATGCTTTATTTTTACTTTTCTATCATTTTACAATACATTAATTACAGTAAAAAAAATCGTATGCTTTACTGTGACAGAATCATATATCAATGCCATTGCGACAAATAAATTATATTAAGCAAACTTCTGCATAAGTAGGTCGTATTCGTAGGTGCTTTGCATGTATCAACTGCACATATATTTTGTTGACTAACATAAAATTCAAAGAAAAATAAAAAGTTCTACACGAAAAATATGTATTCTGGAAAGAAGCTTATTAGCCAACAATAATCTCGCAAGATCAATTACAAACACAATTATACGAAATTGATTATGTACAACGTTTTTTGAGAAATTCTAGATATACATACAACAAACTATAAAGATTTATCATGTTTCAAAAACAAATTGGCTTAATAGGTCAATAAATGAAAAGTTTAAAACGACAATAAATCTAAATTAATTATAAAACTCTACTTATAAAAACAAATTAATCCATCCAGTAATTTCGAGTAAATTAATTTAAATTGTAATTTTACAAATATATATATAGACAATTATTTAGAAACAGACATAAATTTTTAATTAATTATACGTATAACTTGTTCAAAATTTTTTTTATTGATAATTAATTTCTTTCAATTTTGGATACTTTATATTTTCAATATAAAGTTTCATTTTATGTTTACTAGCAAGTTATTACGATTCTGAAACAAATTTATAATTATGCCGCAATGAAAGTTTTCGTTTGCAAGAGCTAAAACATTATGAGGAAATATGTAAACTGTCGAAATGTAGGTTATAAATAAAATACATTTAGATCCCATTTCGCAATACTCATCAATATTATGTATTACGATTATTGGAGCATATAGCGGCACGCGAGTGCATATCTTTTATTACGGAAATAAAAGAAGATTAATAAAGACAGCAATTTTTTTATAATGTAACAACAAACGTGAGGTATTTGCATCCAATAAAAAATATACTCATGTAAATATAAGTTCGAATTTATTATTATACAGAAATTATTATGAAAGTGCGTAAAGAGTCTTCATAAACATAAAGAATATTGAAATATGATTGAATTTGAAAGATGATCATTAATAAATTAAGTTAGCTTATAGGAACTTAAATCCAATTTACTTTTGATATGAATCACGTGCAGTCAATAGTCTTTTTTTACCTTTCGTTGAAGTTATTAAATAATTACCTAGTGTGTAATTCTAATAAATAAAATATCGATTGGAAGCAGTCGATTTTACATCCAAATATGAATCTGTAAATTTGTTTGATGATTTTAATCTGATTCATTTTTATTTCCATTCCTGGCCAACGTAGATTTACTCATGATAAGATATGTATATGTATAATATAGTATATGTATAATATAGTATATAAATTTGCTAAACCATATAAAATGCTACAAAAAAAAATATTTAATAGAATTTACATTGGATCTTATTAAAAAAATTAAAGTACTTATACTACATTATTGTAGTTATATAACTTTGCATACAACAGTCAGAGTCTATATTGATGTATGTATGTATGTATGTATATATATATATATATATAATACTTAATATGTCCGCTCTATAAATAGACATTTTATACAGTATATCAAATTTTTTCAACATACGACATTTGCGACATGTGCTAAGCAGTCCAGCTTTTTCAAATCATTACTTCTTTCTTTATTAAAGCATTGAACATAATTTTCTTTGCTAAAATGTAAAATCAATATCAAAATATAATAATTTGAAGAAATATCCCTTTTCTTATTATATAAAAATCCATGTCTAATTTTTGGAATGATTTTCAATTTCGTTCGTTACTTTGAGAACAATAGTTCAATATTGCTACCCACTGTATTTAAAATTTGAAAAGAGAAAAAACTATAGTGAAGAGAACAACTTACGTTTTATATTATCTATCTTACATTATTCACGATTATAACATTAACTCATGTTACAAAAATTTGACTATCAAGAGAAAATTTGCATTTAACGATATAGTTAATTATCACTGAAAAATTAGATATCTATCGATCAAGCACAATCATGATGCATTAATCAGAAAATCATGTTCTGCTTCACATATACAAATAATAACACAAACTTTGCAATCGCATAAAAAGAGTAATGTATTGAAACGTACGTATCAATTCTTTGACGTCAATTATAATTAAAGAGAAAAAAAAGAGAATGTTAAAACGTTAATATTGCCGTTTACAAAGTCCATGCTTCAATTGATATTGATTGTTACGAATAAAATTGCTAATCTTATTCTCTTTAATATATCTATGCATTACAAATCAAATATGTGTGATGTATATATATATATATATATATATATATATATATATATAGTTAATTTAATTTTTACTTATACAAATAATCAATAATAAAAATATAATATATATATATATATATATATATATATATATATATATAATAT